CAAAATTATCAGAAATAAGACGAACTATTGAACAGAGAAAAAAATCGTAAATGTTAAAATACCACAAATATTTAAACGCTAACAGTACGGAAATCAAACTTAAAACTAATGAAACAACAATAACAACAAAAATTCAAACATATTGTTGTAAAAACAACACTCACCCAGATAATTTTGAAGAAAAATGGACCTAACCCAGACTAAATTCGAAGAAAATACTCTCACGAACGCGAAATCCGTACACTGCTGTAAAAAGAAAGAGAAGAGCGATAAAAAATAAAAAGTAACTAAACAGGATGTTAAAAAGTTCAAGGGCAATTATGTCATTTACTAATATTTTAAGTTAAAATGGCTAGAAATCGATTACATTAGCGATGGTGGCTATTTTTAGATAGCGAGCCGTAAAAATGGCTAGGCCATGCCATTTTGACCCATATATAACTTCAATTTGTAAAATAATACAAAAATTCCTATAGAATCTATACAAATATCTGTTATGCAGAAGTTTACACTGGAATCACAACTGTATTAATTAGTAACACAAAATTGTATTTGTAACTCAAAAATTTATATTAAAAACCAAACCATGTTGAAAAATACATGATTTTACGTGATTAAAAAGTATGATATAGTATATAACTATGATAACATTGATAAGACTTACTTGCGTCTGGTTATATGTGTCTTTCATACATATATTTACCATTTAACAATAGTTGTGTAATATGTATTCTTTTCATTTTAATTTTTAACTGTCAATTACATTATTTAATTTGATATAAATACAGCTTTTACCATTATAACTACTATGTACTTGAGTACTGAAATTCTAGACGAAGCAGCAATTTAGTACTACAAAATTACACATGTTTATCAGCCGTAAGATTAGTTACTATCTAAGGTTGTCTTGACACGTGTCACTCATCTAAACCCTCTCTCTGTCGTCCAGCAAAACACAAAGCCCCCGAAAACGGAAAACGGAAAACGCAAAGAGCTTACGTTTCTTCGCTTCTCACATCACATGGAAGGTGAGAGCAGCAAAAGGGCATGCGTTAAAGTCGAAAACGACGTCGTTGGAGGGAGGTGGGATGAGTTAAACCCCGAGATATTAGCTTCGATATTCGTAAGGATTGTTCCGGCGGAGGTGATGGTGAGGACGGTAGCATTAGTTTGCCGGAGTTGGATGGAGGCGGTGGCAGGGCCGTACTGCTGGGCGGAGATTGACTTGGAAAACTGGTGCCGGAAATGCTGCATTGCTAACAATTTCCACCTCATTGACCCTCTCGTACGGAAAATTATTCGCCGGAGCAGATTCACTTTCCGGCGACTCTCCACTTACCGTCTCGGCAATGTTGGCTTCTCCTTCGCTGCTAACTGGTATTGTTCTTCTTGCTGTTTTGTCTAGAGATTCTTTAAGGTATGGTTCATGGGTTTTGGGAAAAGGTCCAAATTTACCCCTTAATTTTAAGCTCCGTTTTACTTTGGGGTATTCATGCAATTTCCGTTAGCAATTTTTTCCCTTAAATTTAACGACCTCCAGTATAGAAATGGCCCCATATATAACAGAGAACATATAAAGATTCCTCCTTTTTTGTGGTTTAGCTCGAAAGCTTTCTAGTCCAGCTGTGCCGTTAGATTATTCCAACAATATGTGTTCTAGATGAAACATTGTGCTTTTATTTCCAATTTCATTTTAAAGGATAAAGAAAACAAAACATGAAAATGACATTTTTTTTTTGATATTTCAACTGTCAAGAATGAGATAAAATAGCTCAACACCGATAGAACTACTATAAAACTCTCTTGTGAAGATTTTCATAGGTTAGGGTAACTATAAGCCATCCAATCATGTTATAAGTGTTGTTTAGTCAATTTGGACTCACAAGAGAGTTTGGTTCAAGAAAAGTATGGGGAGATGGCACTCTGGTGCACAAATTCAGGTGTTGGAGTCTGGAAGTGCATAAGGCATCATTGGACAGACCTTTCTAAAATGGTAGGGGGGGGGGGGGGGGGAGAATTAAATTTTGGCATGAATATTGGACACACTCTAAAGAGTAGATATATCTATGTTGTGCTCCAAAATGGACACACTCTAAAGAGTAGATATATCTATGTTGTGCTCCAAAATGTTGCCGCACCTTTTCGGATCCTCCAAAAATACACTACTTTTGGAGGATCCGACACGTTCCCAGAGATATTTTTGGAGAGTCGAGCAACATAGCTATAAATAAAGAAGCCGTTATTCTGCGATGTAAATCTGGTAATGGATGGAATTTAAGCTTTAATTGCTTTGATTTGGAAATTGGAAGCGTTGCGAAACTGTTGAAGGAAGTGGAACAGGGTTAAAAAGCTCACACCCGATGGGGAGGACTCTTTTGCTTGGTAGTACGCTGGGAAAGGTGTCTTTTTTGTCGGGTCATGCAGGGGCGGCCCAACCCTAAAGCAAGTGAAAGGCCCCAAATATTTAAGGGCCCCAAAATTACTAGGATTTCTCTATATATAGTAGTATATTATTTATATAATTATCTTTTATTATTAATAAATTTATTTTTTATTGTCATATTAATTTTTAATAACTCGATTTCTTCCTCTAATTAATATAACTAAAATAGTTTTCTGTCAATCTTATTTTACTTTTTTACTTAATTATATTTCTCTATTCATTAGTTGGTCATGTAACTATATCTAATAATCTAACTTATTATTTATTTTCCTTATATAAATTATACTTTCTCTGTCCCAATTTATATGAAAGTGTTTGCCTGGACATGGATTTTATGAAATAAAGGAAGGCTTTTGANCTGGGGTCATGCTTTCAAAAAGTATCTAAAGGGGTTTCCGGCTTTCAACAGTGTCCATGGAAGATTATATGGGGCTCAAAAGCTCCATGCAAGGCGTCATTGTTTTTGCTGGGTCATAGCTCATGATGCTTGTTAATGCATTCGAATCTGCAAAGAAGAGGTTTTCAAATTTGCAGCATCTGTTTTTTCTTCGAACAGGAAGCTGAAGACTCCATGCATTTATTTTACGTTGCTCAATTACAGGGAAGCTTTGGGATATATTTTTGCTGTTTCTTTTGAGTGAAATGGGTAATGCCTGGCACTGTTAGAGCTGTTCTTTATGTAATAACTGAGGAATCTAGGAAAACGATCCTTGCTTTTGCATATGCTGGGTCAGTTGGACAGAAAGGAATCGAAAATGTTGAGGGGAAAGCCGCCAATGTACATATGATGAAATATAGAATCCCTGTTAGTTGTGAAGATGATATGCTAGACTTGACAAATGTTTACCCGAAAAACGGATAGAGTTGAATTTGTACGTAGTTCTGAGGATACGTGGTGCAACTCAATATAAATCGCAAGGATAAATGAAAATATCAAGTATGGGTTGCGAAAAATGCAAAAATAGACAAGGTTGTTAAGAAGATGAATTTTAGGACTAAACAAGTGGAATCAAATTAAAAAGCTTGAAAGAACAACTCTTCACTATAGGAGAATATGATGCTTGAATTACAATGTTAGCAAAAACTTGCCTCTACAGAAATGATAACCATCCCATTTATAGTAGAGGGACCTTACTTTAGATATAAAAAAAATACGTAGTGGGAAACTCATGATAAATCAGTTTTCCCACAATTCCTGACAAGATTCTCTCCTCTAGTGGGATTGCAACGGCTCTTGTCTATGAGCTCGATATTGACTCGAGTTTTTCGGTCTTGACTCGAGCTTTCGATCATGGCTTGAGCTCGATTCTGACTCGGACCCTTGAATTGATTCGGGATCAATGTTGGTCGGTCTCTGGATCATAAGCTCGACAACTTTACTTTGCATCATAGTTCGATTTGGATTCGAGCTTGATAATAATATCGAGCTCAACATTGATTGGCCCCGCGGACTCGAAGCTTGTTTGTATCATCTTCGGAACCCATCTCGAAGTCTTACTTCGATCGATTATGTTTCGAACTCGATCAATCATACGAAGGCCGAAATCTATTTCGACCGTATACAGATAGTCCCCTCGTTTCTCAGGAAGAATGTGGTGAGAAACGATATGATTTTTCAACGGCTCGATCGGATAATAAGCTGACATTTACATTGGGCTCGACCATGACGCACGTGACAGCTGTTCCGTCGATTTAGTCTTTCAAGGTATTTAATGCATGTCAGACGGTGGTCGGCCACCGCTGATACTGAACCGCTATTGCTTAAACCTATAAATAACCCTTCCTTTAATCATTTATCACTTTTACATCTTCAACCTTCCAAATTTCCCAATTTCTTTTTTGTATTCTCTGAGTTTATGCGGAAATCTATGATTCCTCTTTGCAAAATTCTTCTTCCAAATTACCAAATTTTTGTCACCTCTTTAAATCCAAAATGGTGAAGACGTCCAAAACCGTCCCCCAAAAAGAAAAAGCTTCTTCTTCCCAATTCGCCGCCGATAAAACACCGGTGGATCCTCGTCCTGAGGAGTGCGTTCTGGCGGTGTGTGTTCTTACCTCCGATTTCAAACTTGATAAAGGTTCGCCGGTTCCTGGCCGATGTGAGCCCGTATCGAGATATATTTGTTCGATAAACCGGGAGCACATCGAGCGGATAAAAAGATATTGTAACTGGGAGAACAAAGAGGTGGTAGTGCCGTCTTCTGAAGAGGATATTACTACTCACGTGAGATTTTAAGCGTGTATACTTACCCTTTCACGTTAGGCCTCCTCGACCCTGCTATCATAGATTTTTGTCATAAATACTTAATAACCCTAGGTTAGATACATCCTTCCTTTTGGCGAATCGTTATTTTGATTCGATATTTTGTGAGTAAAATCGAGGGAATGCCTTTCACCCTCGATCATCTTGTCCGATTATACCGTCTTCGCCTTTTTCGAGGAGGGTTAGTAAAACTCCAACGTCGAGCTACCAAGGCTTTGTTCTCGAGTATAGATGAGGATAAGGATCGAGGCTGGATGGGCCGGTTCGTTTGAGTGAGGACTTCGGACCTGATTCCGACCGAAAAGATGCCTTTTCCCGAGGAGTGGAACATGAAGCGTAAGTGTAATTCTGCTGTTATCTCCTATTATTTTGTTCTTTCATTTATTTTCTCACCAATATTCCCCTTTTGTGATGCAGCGGTTCCCTGGATGCCCGGCGCAGTGCCCGATCTCAAGAACTTGGTACGTGATCTGGTTTCCGACCTCCTCATATGCCGAGCGCTCATGGCGCGACTTGTCAAAGGGCCGATGGGAGGCCAAAAATTACGGTGAGCACCTCTCTCGTATCTTTTGGTAATTCGAATAAGATGTTTTTCACATACTGCAATAAAATTTTCCGTATGCAGGTGTGGGCAAGGATGCAGTTTTGAGGCCTTCGTCTGTCGAGGAAGAGGCTTTGGCCTCTGTCCCAAAGCCGGTGAAAGATAATAAGAGGAAAAGAGCCCCTGTCCTCGAAGATCAAAAACCAAAGAAGAGGACGGCTCGTAAGCCGAACAAGAATACCATTCCTTTGACCGTAGAATCAGTTATGCGTCTGAGGGATGAAGAAGAGGAAGAAGAAGAGAACGATGGGTCTGCTCTTGCGGCCCGAACATAGAAGACCACCGATGCTCCACAGGCTGCTGGATCGATGGTGGTTCATAAGGCTCTGCCTCGAACTGAGGATATATCGGAGAGAGATTCGGGTAGAGTCCCCGAGTTGTTGGAGATTGAAGATGTTCCCCATCGAAGCCGACAGATGGGGGATATGTCTGAAGGGGCTCTTCCCGAATCTTTTCGAACCGAAGAGAATGCCCCATATAACTCATTTGGGGTAGTAGCAATCGAAGGCTCGCCCACCTTCCCTGTTTTTTCCGCAGGGGCGATTCGGGAAGCCCAAGCTTTGGGGGCTCTCGAATTAGATAGGCCTCATGATGGAGAGGATCCTTTTCGTGACCTGTTCATCGGCGTCGAAGACACTGCCGGTACAAGTGACGCTTCAGATCTTTTTCACGGAGTGCAGCAGGCTTTGAATCAGGTAGGCCTTAAATCATATGGCATTACCTTTCAGTTTGCTTTTCTTTTCTGACTTCGTTTCTTGTTTCTTTGCAGGCCGCGACAGTTCATCGAGAATCATGTTCTCGGTCTAACCGAGCTGCGTCGATACGAGGCCGAGCTTCAATGGGTTACGGAGGAGAGGAACTCCTTAAAGTTCCTTTTGGGCCAAAGGGGAGAGGAAATAAAAGACCTCCAAGCTGAGTTGGCCAGGGCTCACCAAGATCAGATCGATCTATCCGAGCAAGTAATAATGCTTTTAAAAGCCTATGGGCTTGATACCGGAACGATGGCTAATCTTTCGGTCTCACAGCTGCAGCAAAAAATCGAGATGATCGGAAAACTCTGTGAAGAAGTTGATGCGATAAGAGCGGAGTCTTTGAAGTGGAAAGAAGGAATGGACCGTTTTGCTGCAGAGAAAGAAACTGCTCGAGCCCAATTGTCATCGGCCGAAAACCAACTTCAAAAAATGAAGGAGAAAAACTCGGTCCAAGCAAGAGGAATAGAGGAGCTCGAGGCTCGGTTGGCCTTTGTACTTGCCAACGCCGAATCTGACGCCGAAAAGGCAAAGGCCGATGCGGATGCACTCGTAGCCGTCTATCGGGCCAATGCTGAAGCTGCCCAGGTCCAAGCAAGAGAGGCAGCCGAGACCGCCGATACTCGAGCACATTGGGTCGCTAAACTGGCTAAGTGCCGATCTCGAAGGGAGACCCTCGAGGAGATCCATGCTCGAGGTTTCGACTTCGCTGAAGAGATAAAAAGGGCCAAAGAACTCGAAGCTGATGCTGAAGCCTTGGTTTCCGATGACGATGATGATGACAATGATGATGACGATGGGAGTAAGAGCGGATCCGAGAACGGGGGGAGGGGGAAGGGGGAGCCCGATAGAGAAGAGACCGCTCCTGGGGATGACCGGGAAGCTTAGTCCTTAATTTTTACGTTGTAATCAATCATGTAAACAACTTTGTATATAAAAATATCCCTTTTTTTTTGCCGACTTGCTTCTGTTTTGTTTCATGTCTTGTGAAGACTTTATTCACGCCTTATGAATATTTTCACAAGGATTTAAACAACTTAATCAAATTTGGACTTCGTAGCCTCCATAACCGAGCGAGCGCTTACTCAAACTTGAAGCGATGTAGCCCTTAGGCTTATTAGTTGAGTCAGTGATTCGAGCTCGAAGAAATATAGCCCGTAGGCGTAATGGTCGAGAGAGTGCTTGCTCGAACTCGAAATAAAAATAACCCGTAGGCTTAGTAGTCGAGTGAATAATTCGAACTCGAAATAATATAGCCCGTAGGCGTAATAGTCGAGTGAGTGCTTGCTCGAACTCGAAATAAAAGTAGCCAGTAGGCTTAGTAGTCGAGTGAATGATTCGAACTTGAAATAATGTAGCCCTTAGGCGTAATGGTCGAGTGAGTGCTTGCTCGAACTCGAAATAAAAGTAGCCCGTAAGCTTAGTAGTCGAGTGAATGATTCGAACTCGAAGTAATGTAGCCC